ATGCAAGGTCTCATTCTGAGTAATAGGTCTCGGATGTGTGCTTGTTTGGCTCTTTTTGGGGCCACTGGAGAGCAATAAAATATCTGTCTGAGGATTTTCGGGGTCCTCACAGGCCTTTCCCAGGTGTGCTTCACTGGTCATAAAGCATACGCGCCTCTCACGGTACATTCATGAACAAATGTGTCCGCTGAGAGTTTTTAACTGCGTACTAGTTAGCATGCACTGTGACAACTACAAAATATAGTAATTGCTTTTGTAAATTCTCAGAGCTGTCCGTAATGGAGAGCGTTTGATACACTTTCAACAACTTTAAAAAGAAAATTGGTATTTCATTTGATTAAAGATTGTTTTGTTTGGAGTCGAGACGGAAACTGTAAGATCGCCGGTTGAATTTAAGTCTGCGGCGTTCTGAGAGGTTAACCGTTTCCTTTGTTCCTAGATGTCCGAACAGGAAAGCTCCAGTGTATTTCCATGTCAAGGTATGCTGTGTTTACTTTTATCACTGCTCCTCAGAGAGGCGGGCCAACCTGATGTTTGTTTATGAGGGAGTTCAGCCTTTTTTCTCTGAACTTTCATTCACCACTTGAAAGCACTTGACTTGCTACTAATTTACCTTGAGGGACTTCAAAATGATCTGTCTGCACTGTCAAAATCTTTTTTTTGTGGTGACAACATCTCATCATCAAAGATTTCCTTTAGAGTGTAATGAAAGCCCGGCGGATGGTAGTTTTTGCTTTTTTAAAACGTTTGATTGCGTTAGTCATTGTTGCATTACAGAGGTAACAGAAAAACACAAAAGTGGAAACAGAGCAGGAATGAGACAGTACTAAAATAATCTTGGATTTCCCGTGGTAATCAGTGTATCTTTTCTTTAACCAGCGGGTATGTCAATCTGTGTTGCTAAGGGTTTTTTTTCCTTTACGCAGGAAACTGCACGTTTTAAAACTCAGGAGCACAGAGGAGCTTCACTTACCAAGCTTTTTTGACACATTTCCATTCAGTAATATTAATGTCCCACATGAGTCAGGGGCAAAGTTGTGTGAGTTTCATCTAGATTTTTTTTTTGTATTACTCCTAAGTCAGTAGGTGACCGCTTCACTCGGTAATGCTCATGAAAATATATAAATCTGTTATTTTATCCCAAGTTATCCAAAGTTCAGATTTCCCTTCTTAAGGGAAGGTTTTCAGTGTGTAACGCTCTGCTGAGACTTGTGTCAAAAAAGGAACTTGATCCCCCTCCTCCCCAAATGTGTGACATTGAATAAACACTGTAGTAGCTCTGCCCAAACAAGTTTGCAGAATATGCATATGAAAATATTGCAACAGTGTCACCAGGCTGTTAGCATTTCATTTCATCTGTCCCGGTTGATTCCCTGTCACACTGTTCCTGTTTCTCTCACACTGTGCACATATTCTTTGTCAAGATAAGTAAACTAATTTTACTGAGAGGTTCTTCTTCGTAAAGCAACAGAAGCAACAATGAAAACAAGCACTAAACATTCCATTTAAATGTATGCCAGCGCTCAGTGTCTTATCGTAAAAAGTCAATCAGCCATTTGGAACTAAGTCTATTTCAATGTGTGGGACAAGCTGAGAGAATAACCTGTTGGCAGTGGCAGATATTTCAGATCTCTCTTCACTCTAAATTGCAGGCAGGCATCCCTGCAACCCCACATGAAGACCATTGAGTCCCATCAAGATAATCCTTAATAAAGAACGGCTTCACATTTAATCTTAGCTCACCTCTCAAGTTTCTTACTTGATATAGTTTTTGGCAAGTGTTGTTTTAGCGCTGATGTCAGTCGAACTTTATCAGTGGATCTTTTGTTACGTTTCCATTTGGAAGACTTGAAAGAACTTGAGTTTTTCTTATTTATACAAATGATTATTTCATTGCTTTCATTTACACAGACTAGCAGACTAATAGTCTCAAACAGAATCGGTTTATATCTACGTGGCTCATCCTGTGCAGATGCTTTGTGCAGAAGCTCATCGACTCCCCACAATGACAGCTTCAAATACAAAGTTTAATTAGCCCTTTTCATGAGACTGTTTACATTTAACGGCCTTTAATTTAATACCATGGAACATGAAAATAGTAAAGTAATCACCACTCATCTCCAGTAAAACTGCTGGGTTGATTCAAGCCTTGATTTAAAACATACAGCACGGCGTTCAGGAGTATACATATATTTCAGGAAAATCTGAGTTTAGTCACTGGGACATAAACAACTGGATAATTGTAGTGTGCAATTTGAAGACAACTCACTTGAAAAATCACGTCTCCATCTAATTTTATACGGCTGCTTATTGACAGAGAGAAAGTGCAGAAGCGTAATTGGCACGTGTCCTCCTCTGCTATTAGAAATAGTCACCTGAGAGTCCCTGAGCATCTACTATTCGTCAATTGAGTTATCAACAGTCTGTTGGATGTGCAATATATTTCAAGCTCTGCTATTGTAACGTGATCTCATGGACTTACCTGTGGGCAGCAGGTTTAAAAAAACGAGCCAGTGCGTCCGTATTATTGCTGCAGTATGTTTAAATCAGGAGAAGTGCAGCTCGGATCCATTTCTGTCAACTTCTTTTTGACTGTAGCTTTACACAGGCTGGCCGGCTTTGGTCCGCTTTCCCTAGGAACTCTACAAATGATCAAGTACAAGTAAATAATGATTCGTGTCATTTCGAAATAAAAGAAAATTGAATAAATAAATTAACACACATACACACACACACACACACACACATATATATATATATATATATATATATATATATAAAAAACCTCTCTTAGTATCACATTTTCCTTCATCAGCAGACAAGTAGGAAAGAAAGATTTGCTAGTAGCACACACAGGGCAAAAACACCCAACACAGCCCACTATTCTTCTAGCTGCGGGTGCTCTTTCTCTCTCACCACCTCAGCACCGTGGTAAATGTATGATTTCCTCTCTCTTCGTGGTCATTTGTCACTATTACAGTTGGTATTTCATCTGCAGTTTTACCATGTTAGAATAAAACAAATTTCTAATGGTTCAGTGATATCTTGACCCCTCTACACACACAGTTGATCTTCTTAGAAATAATGTCATGACATGTTGTATCAAAATCTGTTCAAACCTCATCAGCGGTTTGAATAAATCACCAGTTTTAGCTCATCAGTAGCAGCAAGGCCTTGTGTAGCCCAGTTGAAATAATAACCTGGAGCAGACAGAAGGCAGTCATTACCGTGCACACAGACGCTGTGTGTATGTGTTGACGGAGGACTTCCACTAGAGTGCTGTGGAGACGGCAAGAGCCGAGCCTCTCGGCCGCCGTTAAACCTCTGGCTCCCCATCACCTAAGCTAACGACCTAGCCCCACGTTTGCCCTCTGAAGTCCATCTATGACAGAAAGAAATCCATTTTTTACCCAAGACTCGCAAGAGAAAGCAACAACAAAAAAGAAGTGGTTTTCAGTGGTGGGGAGAAAAAAAAAAGAACATAACAAAAACAAGAGAGAAAGGGGAGGTTGAAAAGTTTGAGCCCTCGGGCTGTGTGAGCAGAGCCCGCTGTTCCATTGGAGAGATGGGCCATTTCATTGTCTTAGTCTCCACTGATACAATCTGGAGAGGACTCTTTTGCTTAAAGCCGTGAGTGAATGACATATGGGGAGCTTGTGTGAGGCACAACTCCCCCGTGCCTCCTCCAGACCCAAAGTCTTCCTGTGAGAGTACTGAGCAACTTTTCTGCTTTTTCAAACAGCAGCAGCAGCCTCCCTCTCCCTCCCTCATTCACTGTTTTTCTCCCTCCCTCCCTGTTGCTCTCACTCTCTCCCTTTTTTTCCCTCTTCCTCAGACACTCACCAGTCAGTGCCTGAAGCAGTAATCGGACAACTCTCTTTCTCAATACGACAGAGTCTCCTGAGATACCGCATGGGGCTCCATGGGTTCCAACACCTAAAATGAAAAAGAAAAAAGCAGTTTTGTAGTTTACATTTCTCGTGCTACAGATCCTCCAACACCTGAGAGCTGCTTCAGAAAGAGTGCTGTCCCCTCTGCTGGACTGACCGACATTTCTCTTGAAGATTTCTTTTTTAAAACGAAGATACAAGAGGGGGATAAACGCACACGGATTCTAACACAATTTGTAGTGAGTATGACTTTAATTTCATGATGATGTTTACCTGTCCCCTCTCTTTGAATTTAACATTTTGGGAGTGTGTGTTTGCGAGTGTGTGTATGTGTGTGTTCACGTGAGGAATTATCTATTAAATGACACGAATCAGTATGAGCATTGTTTTTGTTTCTTTAAAAAAATGTAATTACTAATGTAAGCAATAATGCCAGCAAAGCAATAGTTTTTTTACTCATTCATTTCTGGCTTGAATTTGTTAATTGTCACAATGTAAATAACGACCTGCTACATTTTTAATTTTAAAGATATTTGAAACTTCAGAACAATTATACAAATTATTTCAAATTGTTATATGAGCTCAGCAGATTCTGCAATTTGTTGACAATAAATTACACTGACATTTTACATGAATTTTGATGTGATCTTGATTAACAAGTTGCAAATGCTTATATCATCGTTTCTAAAAATTGAATACATTGTTCAGTATTTATAATTAATGCAGACTGAATAGGTTTAATCTAAATTTCTATTAAAGTTAGTTTACAAATAGGGGTTCTGGTAATGCTGTGCAGAAAATATAAATTTCATTTGTGCATTGCTAACAATTTACGATTAAAATAAAACACTATATTTTCATGGCCTGTAATTACAAAAAAAGCAGAAAATGTATCTTTATTAGGATTCAAACTAAAAGCATCAATGGAAATAATTTGCAAATTATTTAGCTATGAGAAATCCGACCCCTTTTCCTTTGGCCCAGTTTACATATGTGATCCGGGAAGGAAAACATGCTGGAATCTGCAGTAGTTCCTTTTGCAATGAGAGGACGAACAAAACCAACACATTTAAAGCAGCTGACATCTAATGCCATCTGCTGCGGCCAGGAATGCCGCGGGGAGACCCGAGAGCCTCCCAGCGTCTGAGCGAGACAACAGGCCTCGACTCCCGACCGTGCAGCGTCTCCACTCTCCGCTGTTTCTGGTGCAGGGAGGACGAGAGCCCCGGCTGTAATCTGCTGCCTCTCTAATTGAAGGATTTTCTGGTTTAATGTTGTGCGTATGATCACAGGCTGACACCACAAGCAGGGAATTATTGTGTATCATGCCTGTGCGCCAAGGTTGTCTTTTATTCCTGTTTCCTTTTTCACCCTCTAATTCCTGTTATTTTCAAACTCCTTCCCTTTTTTGGGGGGGTGTTTTGAAAGGTGTGTGTTGATGAAAGAGAGGAAATGAAGAGGTTAGGATGAGCTAGTGAGCCAGCCTGCCTGCAAAGTGGCCTCTGCTTCATTTAGACAAACATGACAATGTGTGCGCATGTGTGTGTGTGTGCCTGCTGCAGCTATTCACACACACGACAACCTTATTTATCCAATTAACAGATAATGAGCAGGCTGATTTGAGGCTGTTTACATTGTGTATTTGCTTTACAAAAGAAGAGCTTAGGGTTTCTCTGCCTGGCTGCAGCGCTTCACGCACATGCAGCAGCAGTGTGTGGCGGCAACGGTGGCATTGTTTGCCCAAGGACTGATGCCTTCCGTATGGACGTGTCCGGCCGAACAGGCCCTTGGCCTGGAGATTGAAAATGGTGAAAGACAGAGAGCGCTAAATGATCTGTCCCCCGCTCAGTAATAAGAGGAGAAGATAGAGAGAGAGCACGAGAGAGGGGAGATGGTTATAGGGACCCTCTATTGAGTAGCCTGTAGTGGGCGATTAGTGGGCAGGGGCTGTTTACCAAATACCGTGGGGTGCTGTTTTGTTAACACGCCGCTGTTTGGATCTGAAATATTTGTGCCAAAGAGCAGGAAATGAGCTTTCTGATAATTGCCATTACAGCTCCTCAATCATCGGTATCCTTTTTTCTCTGCGTGTGTGTGTGTTTTTTAATACACTTCTTAAGCATGCTAATAAAAACACATTTCTGAAAAATGCATTTGAAAAGATCTCATGTAATGGAAACAGGGTGTAGGGGGTTTAAATTAAGTATGATATTATTAAAACTATCTGAATATTTTTACTTAATTTGACATGTTTTTATCTCATAACGGCGTAGATAAATATTAAAGCTCCCTGTCCCAGATTGGAAAGAATTAAAAAAAACAAGTCGCAGGCATTAAAGCAACACCGTCGTTAAGATTTGACCCCGGACCTTTTTCAGCTTTCTCTTGTAAAGTCTCTCACTCCGCAGTGGTCACGGTGGTCGGCAGGTTGTGATAAAATGTCCACCTTAAATCTTGTTTGATGGCCCCTCAAAGGCAAAGTGGCCTTCTGGAAATAATTTTGAAGGTTGAAGAGCAAAGTATTAACAGATTTAATGTAGCTATTGAGTGAATTGCCGGAGCACAGTGTCAGATAGAGGCAAAAGAGAAAGACAAATTGTACATCAACATGCAGGACATCTGCTGATAATTGCGCTCTTGATTGCAGACGAGTGCAAAAAACATTGACAGTAAATGACAGCATTCGAGTTTTCAAAATTTGTCGCCAGAGAAATTGTTTTTACACTGTGCTAAATATTTCAGCGTCATAGATAAGTTTCATCTTATTTTCATATGGTTCAGATCTTGTTTAAAAATATATATTTTTGTCTTATAAATAACAAAGTAAAAACAATGCCACCGATTTCTTATTAGTTTAATTCATTCGGCATGTGGTGTTGCCCAGTAAAATATTGTTTCTCTTTAAAAAAAAGAAGATTGTTGCATTTGTTGGCAGTCGTCACTTCTTTGGCCATGTACAGAGACATAACTGAAGTGTAGCATTTTGTAATCTGTGCCTAATTCCACTCACATCTGTGTCCAATTGTTGTCTGCATCTACATTCTTTGCGAGTGGATTTATTTTTCCTGGGCCACCATGTGGATTCAGCTGACCAGCTTAAGTGGGGATTAGTCGTTTTAAAGTTAGATTTTGATTAAAGCGTTGTTTTGCAAAACTTGTAACACACAGTCTGTGTAATCTGTAGAATTTAAAAGATGATGCAAAATTCAACTAATATTCAATTTTATTTTCCAATGTAGTCCGCTTGAATTTTATCTGCAGGGTTTGTCATTATCATATGAAAATACAGAAAATAAAAATCTCAAAGTTGTGTTTTTGAAACCATGCAGTTTAAATGAATGGGGGAGCTCTTGCTTGTGTGGCAGTACAGGTAGGGGAGGGAGAGGGAAGCATTCCTGTCAGGTCAGACACACTGCGTCCTGCAATGATCTATTCTGAAAGCTTGGCAGTTTACTCTTGGAAATGCAAGTCTTGGAGCAAGTAAAGCGAAGCAAAAAGGCCAGCAAACCACCATGAATGAAGCGTGTTGTGGCACTCATTCTTCTTGATGACACTTCCAGCGCTTCATCTCGCCGGGCTTTGTTCTCTGAGGCTTCAAAGGCCTGGCAGTTCAGGTCCAACTAGCATGCACATCAAAGATGCTGAATGCAGCCCCCTGTTTTTTCAATAATACATTTTGAGCTGTGAAGAAGAAAGCTTTGTTTTTACTTTTAAAATCTCAGCCACCCCCCCCCCC